CGCGTCTAACTCCGCTATGCGAAAGGATTTCCGGTCATCGAAACTAATTGACTGTCTGGCGATTAGTTTTAAAGTTTTGTGGGTAGTTGCTCATCGGTTTAATCTTTCTTTTAACAGAATCCATAGATGGTCAATGTCAGCTGCCCTAGATCTTATTTTTCATAATCTTCTGCGAGGCGTTTTTTTCACAAGTTGAAGAGAGTGGAAGATTGATTGGCGACTTAAATTTCATTGTTTCCTAATGGCAAATTTTTCGAATTTTTTCTTCTCTTTATGTTTATTTGATTTGGAAATACATGAGTAGCAATGAGAAGGACAACATCTTTTATTACATCACAGCCTCTTTGAGTCTCGTTTGAAAATTACCATTTTGTTTTGTAGTGTATAAAAATTCTTGGCACTCCGGATCGGCTTTCTGTTCAAGATCGAGTATATACGCTGAACCACAACGTGTACGTTGTAGGATTTGGTAAAGCCACAGTCGACATGTGGACGGCCATCAGTGAGACACTTTCAATGCATATTGCGCATGCGATCCTCAGCGTTCCGCTGGGCAGCGCGTGTTTGATAAACCGTGAGGTAAACTCTTCGTTCCCGCTGGAGGTTTATGAAGGAGCACGTAATAACATTCCGGATGAGCAGTCGTTCATTGCAGCTAAACGCATAAAGGCTCTGGCCGAAAATCTGAAAGCAGAACACATCTTGATTGTTCTGGTCTCCGGTAAAATAGACTTATAATGAAGTGTCGTAATATTTTTTTTCTCTACAGGAGGTGGTTCGGCACTGCTGCCCTATCCTGCCGAAGGAATCAGTCTGGAGGAGAAAATTCAAGTTATTAAACAGCTGGCATCCCGCAGTGCGGATATTTTTCAGCTCAACCAAGTTCGCCAGCAATTGTCAGCACTGAAAGGCGGCCGTTTGGCTCAGTGTGCTTTCCCGGCAAAGGCACTTTCCGATACTCTGCCTAATGCCTACGTCTGACCAGTGGTCATTTAGGTGATTTCATTCATTTTTTCTGACGTCATCGGCAACGATATTCGGTTCGTAGCCAGCGGACCCACAGTTCCGTCCCAGTCTGACCCCGCTCGTGTGCTGGAGCTGCTGAATGGCTTTTTTGAGCCGAATAAGCCATGTGCTTCTGTGATCAGCCACTTGGGTATGCATGTAACGATGAATTTCATTCTGTTTCTGGTGGTCTGTAAACGTAATTGGCAAGTTTCTTTCGTTAACGATGACCAGTGACACTTGAGATGTGATCTTTCCCTGCTGCATGTTGCCTGATCTTTGAAGTGTTTTTATCTAGCCAAGCATGGAAAATTTGCTTTCTTTGGAGATCTTTACCACCATGCAATAGGAGAAGCGTGAGAAAGAACATTTTCCAATGGAAGGTCTGCTCTTGACATTGAAAGACGAATCAGAGGAGCTTTAATTATCCGATCCTGGAAAAATGTCAATCAACACAAAGGATGTGAATTCTGTACGAATTGTACAAGCCTTGTCAAGTCCGTTACTGAAAAACCACTTAATCAGCAGCATGGGCCAAAAGCACGTCTTTGGTTCCTAGAGTCAAGATACTTGCGCGCACCCTGACAGCCCGGACGAAAGCCGTGAAAGACAGTCCGATGTCGCTACTGATCAGCCAACCGACCGACCAACTTGTTTACTTGCTTTGTGCATAAATCAACCCTCTTCATGCATTTTTCAATTTTGAGCATGAGTTTCATTTTCTAATCAGTTACGTCAGAAGACATCGATTAATATTCACCTGACACTTAATTTCATTCAGCTTCTCGATAAAGCTTTGTACGTTTTTGATCGTATATTTTAACTTTTGTGCGACTGGTTGTGATAAGAGGTCTAGATGATTTCTGACTTTGTAGGTGATATGATTGACAGGCACTAAAAGACGAAGCGGCTTGCTTGGTTTATGTCTTACGACTCTTTGATACAGTTCGGAGTTAGGACATGAATCCACAGTAGGCAGAAAAGTCTTAAATTTTTTCTTTTACCAATTTCTGTTTTGCAACAAGTCTGCTGTGAGGATACGGTATAGTTAGTGTCTAATATTTTTCGTTTGGTTGGTATTATTCAGACTTCTGTAGTACACTGCTTCGTGATCAACCTGCAAGTGCATCCTTTGAATACACTGATTTTTCCATAATAAATGTTCTGCACCCTCTGTCTGCATTTAAAACAATTCAACTTCCTGGCTTCACCTGCCTTTTCAATTTAGCTAGCACGGCAAACAGCATTGCCAAGAGTAGAATTTGCTGGTTTACACTTTGACGTGATTTATTTAGAATAGTGTAGCATATGTTC